TCCTTGGTCCGCACTCACCTGCTTATGCCCAAACCCTTCCACTGATATCAAGACCCTGACCCAAGGAGCCTGCCCTGTTGCTTCACATCTGCTAATGCACATACTCCTCAGGACAAACCTCTAATGCTGGTGACACTAGCACCCTGACACGGGTGCAGGAAGTCAGGCTCACCAGTACAGTCTCACAGGCTGGGCATCACCCTACACGAGAAAAATTCACTTAACACAACAACAGACACAACCACGCCCCCCACGGGCTGGCCCCCTACTCAGCACTCTAGGGACTGACACACTGCATCCCCATGACAGCAAGGCTGCTTAAGTTCCAGCACCAGCTCCACTGCGCAGACGAAGACACTGGGGCCATACACAGCTTGGGTGCGGGACAGAGCTGCACTACAGACCTCTGTGTGGACACCAGCCTGGGGATTCCACAGGACAGTGATCTGAACAGCGCATGCACAATAAAGTTCAATTTTTGAAATGATAAAGGAAAGAAAACAGGAGGAGGCACAAGAACATCCAGGACACACATTCCTCTTCCCCATCTCCCACAGGCCCAGCAAGCACCATGCCTGGCACTGAAGAAGTTCCACCAACTGAGCAGCCAGCCCAGGAGGCTGTGTCCTGATTCCTGTCCTATACCTCCCCCACCTGCCCTCACTATCTTTTTCACACTGGATGCCAAAGTAAAGGTTGGGGGAGGTGGAAGATGCAAAGCTGTTGAGGACCAGAGGGGCGAGCAGGCCTAAAGCCTGATAAACTCTAAGCAGCATTAAAGGATCCTATGGCCAGAAAAGCCTTCTGTCTTGAAGTCTTAGTCCTGTTCGTCCATCCCCCACCAACGAACAGCAGCCACAACCAAAACAATAACAAAATAATAGCAGATGCCATTCGCTTGACAGGCGCTATCTCTGATCTCACCACCACCCTGAACGAGGGATGTTTACTCCCACAGCCCAGAAGAGAAGACTGAGGCACGTTATATTTGGCTAGGTGAAGAAGCAGAGGACCCAGGATTCAAACCCAGACCTACCCACCAGAGCCAAGGCTGCACCCCCACTTCCTTCCCTGATGAGGGATTTCTCCACTGGGCTCCTGACCACACAGGCAAGATTGCTGCGACCAGTACTTGGTACTCAGCCACTGTGGACTAAGGCTGTCTGTGTCCACATACAGTGCACAGTCCCCTTTCATTCTGCAGATGAGGAAACAGGCTTCTTTATTGAAAGCTGGGCCATGCCCAGGAGACTGAAACATTTGAAGCACAGAGATATGCCAGATGCAACTTGTCTGATATCCCCAGCTGGGATCTGACCCCAAGCAGCGAAGCTTCAGAGCATGAGCTCGTAACCTCTCCATATCACTGGCTTCCAGGAGCTGGGGCCAAGTCCCGCCTGGGCTGACCCGGCTAACCCTGTACTGCCTCTGCTCCTGGCCATCCCAGAGCCCCCAGCTGCACATCCGAGCTTAAGGAGTCCCCTGGGCCAAGGGCAGTAAACAGCCGCCACCACCTGCTCCTGCTTGGTGAGCAAGAATAAGCAGGGCCCTTTGCCTAATAGAGGAAGTTCCTGGGCTGACACAGAAGGCCTGCCCTGGGGTTCCAGCACAACCTAGGTTGAGGACAGGCTACTTCCGGTACCCGTCCTGCAGGGACAGCACATAAAGCCCCCTCTCAACCACCAGGCCGATGGGTATTGCCCCTTTAAGCTGTAGGTAGCCGGCTGGCATGCCCGGTAGGTGAGTCAGCACCCAGTGCCCGCTGACTCACTCACCGGAAGCCTGGCTGCCCCAGCCCGCTCCCCACATGGCTGGCTGAGAACTTTGCTCCCTTCAGGGGCTGAGCCACAGGCTGGCTGATAGAGAGTTTCCTGTGCGTCACTCCAGGGGTGGGGGAAGTCCCGGAGGTGCCACCCTCCAATCTTTCCAACAGCCAGGATAGGAGGGGTGGGTTGCAACCACAGCAGGAAGGCCAGGTTGAGACAATACTCCCTGCAGCTTAACTGGACAGCCGGAGCAGCCATGCTAAGATCAACCATGCAGTACCCAGCAGTGGCATTCCCAGGCAGCAGGAGCAGCAACATGACACAAGGACAAATGTGGCTTGCAGAACAGAACCCTGCTGATCACATGTGCCCCTGCACAGTGGCTCCAGCACCAGCTGCCCTTGGCCTCTGATTCCAGCCAGAGATGGCATGTGAGGGAGGAGACCAAAGAAGCAGAGCTGTAGGGCCTGCAGGCCCCATACACTCAGGGAAAACTCCCAGGCCTGTGACACAGCAGACAGGTTAGGTGCCTGCTGCCAGGCAGGAAGCTCAAAGGCAAAGCTCCACTAAGGTCAAGTGCCAGGTACTCCCTACTTTGTTCAAATTCCTCTGAAAAGGTGGAGAAGAGCTCCAAGCTGGGGCTCAGTGCCCAGGACAGGGAAGGCACTGGTGAGGACCCCTACCCTGCAGATTCAGTTCAGCCACTCCCCATGAAACTTTAGTTTTCCAGTGGATAACATTGCTATGAGCATGCACCGTGCCAGCTATAGTGGTCTGTGCACACAGGAGGCAGCACTTCTATCCTGGTCCACCCTCCAGGCCTCGCTGCCCTTGAGCAGACACCACTGGACACAGTGTGATGCAGGGAAGGGATGGGGCATCCTACAGTTCAGCTCACGCATCCAGCACAAGAATGGGACAAGGGAGGCCACTGTGGGGACCAATATGGTAAGTCCTACCCCCATTTGCCACCGGTATGCGGTTTTGCCAAGGCATATAGTGGCCCTGAGGCTGAGTCTTCTTACTTGGCAGTGGGGCAAAGGAGGAACAAATGTGCATGGCACATGGAAAAAATTTGACATGTGGTGGCTCTAAGTGGAATTTTGGTGACAGGACATCATGGCTCCCCCATCACATCCTTCTCTAGATTCCAAAGAGGCCACAGGGCCCTGACCACCATCCAATCCACCCAATTTTATCTGTTATCTGGCTCCACAAGTGTGAAATTCATCCTGACTCTCTGCAGAGCCCAAGGGAGGGCAATGCCAGGCCTCAAGTCATACAACAATGGGGGCTAGTGGCACCCCCTCACCTCCACAGCACCTTCCCATCACCCCATGACCCCTTCTCCCTTCACCACCCAGAGTGCAACTTTTGTTCTGATGAGGTAGCAGCTCCTGCCTGGAAGAGATGAAATACCTCCAACAATCAGGAGATGGCTCAGTAGAATAAGCACTTCCCTGGCAAGTACAAGGGCCTGAATTCAATCCCCAGTTCCACCAAAAAAAAAAAAAAAAAGTTAACAACAAACAATGCTCCCAACACCTCCCCTAGCACCCCCAAGCAAAGTGTCTGATTTCCCAGTACCCAACCTCCATAACCTCCACGAGGTCCATGGATGGCAAGTCGCTCCCCGCCACCACCACCTCCCCAGTGAGTGCCTCCAAAGTTACTCACAGTGGTTAGGCAATGGTCAGGGATCCAGCCTCCTACTTATGTAAGACATAATTACCCTGCCCACCCAGCTCAGCCCACAGCCACCACAGGTACCAGTAACAGGGACCGAGAAGGGCACACAACTTCCCCAGGACTCCCGGGATTTCCTCAGGTCTGAGCCCCTCCAAGGAAGAGGAAGAGGAGATAATGCTTGCTGAGGAGCCCTCAAAGTGCCCACTGTACCTTCCACCCCCTGCAGCTGCAGGCCAGAGGCATAACCCTGACCTCCCATGGAGGAGGCCTGACAGCAACAATAACAAGATTTGCAGTGCAGCCCCTTCCTGAGTACCTACTGTATGCTAGATGCTTGTTGAGCTCTTTACTACCTCACCTTCACTTGCTTAAAGCATTTCTGCAGCCACAATTTTTTGCCATATTCCTCATATTCACTTTACAAATAATGAAACTGAGGCCCAGAGACATCAAAAGGGTAAGGCAGCAGCAGGCTGCAAGAGTCAGCTCATTCATTACAGCTATGTCCGGCTTGGAACTCTCACAGCCCAGCCTACTGAGACTCCAACTTGCCAAAAACATCCTTTCCTCTTCCTGAAAAAAATCCCCCTTTTGCCCTCCAAGTCTCATCCTCCCCCTTCCGCGTGACAAATCCTGCTGCTGCGGCTGCCCCAGCCTCCACCGCCACCTCACAAAAATTTCCAGGAAGGCCAGTTACTTGGAGAAGACAAGAGCAACCCCCTCACGCTGCCAGCACCCTGCTCTGGCGGCCAGCCCAGGACCTGAGCAGCAGGGACAGGCTGGGGGCGATCAGCGATGGAGCAGAGGCGGCTCAGCAGGGGGTGAGCTCCCCAAGGGCAGAGAAAAGCTTGCAACTCAAGTCAAGGAGGAGCCCCGGAAAAGGGGCTGTGATAGGGAAGGATGGGAGGCTGAGCGGCCATCTAGACGGGGCTGCAAGACTGGGTGCAGGCCAGTCAGAGCAGTGCAGAGTGGCACTTGCCGGGATGATGACAGCAGGAAGAGGGGGCCAAGGGGAGTTCTGAATGGAGGTGTAGCCGGGGCACCTGCACTGTGGCACAGTGAAATTCCCAACAACAGTAAAATATGTGTGACCCACATGGGGAGTAAGAGTCAAATCCCGGCTGGTTACAGCCCCGGGGGCTGAGAGGGGTGCTGTAGCAGCCCAAGGACCCAAGTGGGAATAAGAGCGAACGCACCTGAGACCAACTGAGTTTCTGCCCGGACTGCCACCCCAAGGCCTAAATGAGGAGGTCAAGGTGAAGTCGTTGACCTGGGACCTCCGGCGAGGTGAGCAAAACGAGGTCCTAGCCTGAGTCCAGCCTAGGAGTCTCGGCCTGGGTACAGTCCCAAGGCCTAAACTGGGGGGTCGAGATGAAGTCCCCGTCTGGGGCGGGAACGCGGACCAAACAGGGAGGGTTTCTTGGCCGGGGTACTGCTTCCTAGGCCCCACACAAGATAAGACGTGACCAAACGGAGGTGGTGTTCACAGCCCAAACCGACCCGGCTGGCGCAGGGGTCAGGCCGCCGAGCCTGCAGCGCACCTACCTTTGGCCTGGGGCATGCTGGAGGGCTGGCTTGAAGCAGGCGACTCCATGCTGCAGGCGGGTTTCAAGAGGCGGCGGCGACTAATCTAGAGGACGACGGGCTCCACCGGGGCCGAGCGTGCTCATGGCTGCGGGCGGACGGCCCGGGCGCGGCAGAAGAGCAGAGGCGGCGGCGGCACCCAGAAGGCGACCGCGACAGGCGAAGGCCGACCCAGACTGGGAAGTGCCGCGGGGGCCCGGGCCCGACCGCGCCGACGCAGGCTCCGCCCTGGCGCGCTCATTGGCCTTCGCGTCTCCAAGGCCCGTCCCCCGCCTATCAGACGCCGGCCAGGGGCTGCCTGTCAAGCACAAACCTGGCCGCCCACGAACTCAGGATCCGGCCCTGCCCACTGTCTGTCAAGCCCGCCCGCCACTCAGAAAACCCAAATCCGGTCAGGCTCTGCCCCCCTCCCCCCCCACAGTCGCTTTCCTTAGACTGCTTGTCCAGGCGCAAGCTCCACCCACTCCCTAGCACCCACCGCGCCCGCCTCCCGCCAGTCAGGCACCAGCCTGGTCCCTGGCAAGCCTCCAGGGCCCACCCCGCGGCCCCCTGCAGGTCCCCGGCTTGCACCGGTCTCGGTGCGTCATCTGGGAAAACCCTGAGATCCCGAGAGTAACCGACTGGGTGGATCTTGCTACAGGGTTATAAGTGCGCTCCACAGACCCTGGTTCAGGTGTGATTTGGCAACATTGTACTCAGGGTGACCTTGGGCAAGTCGGCGACACCCCGAGCCTCGGTTTCCGCCTGTGTGAGAGCTGTGATAACAGCCCTGCCCCAACCCATCCCGCACAACTGAAGAGAACGGGCGCCAGGCATTGGCGGGAGGTGGTAAATGCTTGTTGGATTGACTCTTGTAAAGGGTTTAATACCTTACCCAGTGTGCATGCATTTCTGTCCTGCATCAGCAGGCATCTACGAGCACCTGCACGCGCTGGGCACCGTGCCAGGGTGGGAATGCTGGGTGAACCTGGTGGTGTCTAGTGATAAACCAATTCAAGGAGCTTTCTTGATCATGTCATTAGTGCCCTATACAGAAGGAAACTCAGTTGCAGAGGATATAAGATGTCATTTTACACCCTGGATGTAAGCCATCCTGAATTTCCCAGGCCCTGTTTCTTTCCTATCTGCTTGTCTATCTGTATAATGCCCACATAGGACAACCCTCCCCCTGTTACCACTTAGACTATGGGGATTTCAGGAGCCATTAACTGTTCTGGTGCAGTAGTCAGGTGACTCTGCATGGAAAGCCAGGCTTGGCAAGGGCAGGAAAGGCAGGGCAAAGGTCAAGGGGCCAGCCCCTGGCATCCCGCAGGCATGAGTGTGTGCTCTGTCAGGGACCTCACGTGAGGGAAGCAGATTTCACCACCTGCTAAGAATGCTGGTACCAAAGGCTGACCTTTGCTTGCCTGCATGTAAAATGGGGACCCCGCAGGGCTCCACCCACACGGTAGTGGAGAGGACCAGATGAGATAAGAGGGACAGACCTTCTAATTACCATGGTTCTCTTCTTGAGCCTCTTGCTCACTCTCTCTAGGCAGGGCAGTGGAAGTCATGAGTTTTGGACTAACAGGTGTGGGTTTGAATGCCAGCTCTCCTGCTCACTAGCTGAGTGACCTTAGAGAAGTCATTGAATAGCTCTGAGCTTACCTGTCCTGTGAGGCAATGAACGCTCTGAAAACATTTCATATGTTCAGGCTTAGAAGTACTTGACATAGGGCCTGGCACTCACTGTGTATAGGCCAGGAAATGAGCTTGTAAACCCACTGAGGAGTACCCCCGACAAGGAGCCATCTCCATTGTACTGCCCCTCAGTGCCCAGAGCACTTTGGGACCTGCTCTTACCCATCTTTAATATGGTCACCCGGTAGCAGCTACCTCCTTACAGGACAACTGGTCAGGCAGGTTTTCTGGTCCAGGCCCCTACCAACTGCTCAGACTTCTGCTCCTCCCACTCCCCGCCCCTTACTCCCTAAGTTGGAAAGTCTCAGTGCTGTCCCTTGAAAATACCAGCACTGCCCAGCCTCAAGGCTTTGCCTTTGCTGCTGCTTCTGCCTCAACCCTCTTTCTGATCCCTATGTATCCTGGGACTGGTTCCCTTTCACCCCTCAGCTCTCTTCCTAAATGAACTCCCTAAGGAGCCTTCCCAGTCACAGACCCAAATCAGTCAATTCTCTGCACAGCCCTCATGCCACCAATGACTCTGTTTCTAATGCAGCTCTCCCTCTAGACCATCCATCCCTCCTGAACAGGAATCCTGCCCATCTTATTCCCTGCTGCATTCCTGAGGCATAGCCCAGAGCCACTCATACAGTAGGTGCCTAATGACTATTTGAAGAATGAGCAGAGGAAGGAAGAAAGCATGCCACAGACAGGCACCAAGCGACTCTAGTCCCATTCCAGCCTCCCAGGCCCCAGGATGACTCAAACATGGTCCTCACATACAAGGAGTTTGTGGCTTAGTCGGGGAGCCTGACAAACAGCCCAAGAATCACAAAACTCTATATGAGGTGTTATAAATAGAAGCATGAGCAGGAATCCCAGGAAAGGGCCAGACTCCACCTGGGTGGGGCCAAGAAAGCCTTCTCAGATGAGGTGACCTTGACACAGGACCTTTAAGGCCTACTAAGAGTTTGCCAGGCAGAGACAAGAAAGAGCATCCCACAGGCTGGGGACATAGCTCAGTGGCACAAGCGCCTGCCTGGCAAGCTCAAGGTCCTGAGTTTGATTCCCAGCACACACAAAGAAGATCATCCCTGAAAAAACAGCAGAACCCAGCTAGGTGTAAAGGCCATGCTGAGGCCCCGCCATGCTGCAGAGCAGTGTGCTGAGGTGAGGAGCAGAGCTGGGGTGCTCTCTTCTCTCAAGGCCAACATTTATTGGCCTCCTTCTGCCTGCAAGGGGCACACTCAGGCCAGGGAATGCCACAAACTCTCAGAAAATGGAAAGGCCATTGCACGTGGGTTCTACTGGGCTGCCTGTTGCCTGACTCCTAAGAGAAGAGTTACAAATGCATCTCTCTGCAAATGGTCAGATTGAGTATGGCCCAAGTTAGGGCATGGGTAAGGCGGGGCTGGAGAGAGAGGATGGTCAAACACAGGACAGAGGTAGCTCATTCATTCACTCATTGAGCAAACACTCATCAGACACTTGCCGGGCACCCAGCCCTGGGGCCACAGCATTGGACAAGGTGGAGGCAGTTTCTTGTGCTCAGGGAAAAATGACCTGGGGGACCAAGCAGACATGCAGAATGCCTAAGTGAGATCACAGGTTATCAGGGAATGAAAAATACTGTGGGAAAGAGCAGAGGAGGCACCAAGGAATGTGTGTGAAGGTGAGGGCTATCATTTTAAAGAGGAAGTGACGTGTAAGCAGAAACCTGAGGAGATGAGGGAGAGGAAGAGCACTCCAGTTAGAGGCACAGCACAGGCAAAGGCCGTGAGGTGGATGACTCTTGGGAGAAACAAGGTGACCAGTATGGCTGGGTACTGGGAGGGAAGGTCTCTGTTCTCCCGTACACAGCACACACGTGTCCACTCCACCACCCCAGCAGTCTGGGGCCCGGATAGTGGCACACCCCAGGTACACATCCACATGCTTACAAACAAAATGGTGTGCACAGCAGGTGCATCAGAGTGGCCATTCGGTGTCCACAGATAACACAATGCACAGCAGGGTCCTCCTGGTTGTGCAGCTACAGCTTGCTGGCCAACCACGCCCTCTAGTGCCCAGGCCTGGCACAGCAGTGCTCCTGGTGCTCTGCTCACGACCTGCCACCTTCTGTGCTGGACCATCCAGTCTCCTCCTCTCTATGGCCCTTGTCTTAGGCCTTCCACCCTGCAGCCAAACGGAGAGCCTTCCAAAGCAGGGCTGTTGGTGCCGCAATCCTTCCTGTGGCTTCCTCGGCAGAGAACTTCCAACACTGTAGCCCTCCCAACGTCTCTAGACACTCAGTGCAGCCGCTCCCAGCCCAAGCCTTCCACTTGAATCTTTCTTTGTGAAGGCTGTTTGTTCTCTTGGCCAAGAATGTCCTTCCCTGGTCTTCTCCACTTGACACCTTCGCAGCCTGCTCCTTACCCTGCCAGTGCCCCTGCCCACGCCCTTACGATGAATCATCTGTTTTGTCAGTGGCCAGAAACCTGTCTGCCTCTCCCATAGGATTTGTGCTACTCCAGAGCAAGGGCTGGGGCTGGTTTCCCCAGCCTAAGGTCAGCTGTGCTAGAGGTGGCCTCCTGGGAAAGGGAGAGTTGTCCCTAAATAAGTTGGGAGGCAAATGGTAGCTGTTACTTCAGGTCTGGTTCTGAAGCTGCAGCAGACAGGAGAAACCACAGAAGGCTCACTTGCTTTTTTATTTTAGTTTAGTTTAGTTTATTCTATGTTAATTTCATTTTCAGTACTAGCTATTGAACCCAAGGCTTCAGACATACTGGGCAAGTGCTCTACCACTGAGCTATATGCTCAGCCTTATTTAAATTAATTTGTAGCCAGGTGTGGTGGTGCACATGTTTATTCCAGCCCTCGTTGTGAGTTTGAGGCCATCCTGGGCTACACAGTGAGCTCAAGGAGAGCCTGAACTGCATAGTGAGACCCTGTCTCAAAAAAGACCAAAAATAAAATAGAATAAAATAAAACAAAATAATTTGACATAAAGTCTCACTGAGTCACTCACACTTTGACCTTGCAGTCCTCCTGCCTCAGCCTTCTAAGTAGCTGGCATTATACCACCCACCTGTTATTTTTGAAACGGCCACCAATCTTGAATATCAGGGGACGAATTCATGCAAGTGATGGGGCTTTACCTGCAAAGCAGCCAGTACCACATTTGCAGCACCTACTGTGCACTGATTCCTCGAAGTGCATCCTCTGCAGGCCCACTGCAGTGTCCACACACAGTAGGTGCTCAGCAAACATTTGTGACATGGAGGGAAACGCCCAATACCTTAGTAAAGAGCATGCTATGATCATGTCAATTTAGGAGAAAAGACAACAGGGGCAGAGGGGTGCTGGGATGTGCACAGGCTGCTGTTGTTGAAAGCCCAATCTGTCAGATGGACAGTCCCATGCATGCTTCCATTAAATGGTCCCAATACTCTGATTCTGAGCAAAACAAGCCATGTTTGAATCTTCTCAGCTGCCTTCTAGAGAGACACAAGCCCCCTGCCTCTGATGGAACCGTGGGTCTGGCCTGCCT